CAACAAAACCAAAACCAAAACCATCCCAAAAAACCAACAACACCAACAATTTCACCGCACACCGACTCCCCCACACACCTTGATGCCGCTGAGAACGTCAGTGATGAGTTTCACCCTTCTGTCCTTGAGCTTCATGTTCATGGCCTGTAGTTTCCTCAGCTGAGAGCCCAGCAGAGAGTTGAGGGGGATGAGGAGGAGCAAGAAGACGATGCCAGCCACGATAGAGATCCCGATAGTGTAGTATAACATTACGGCTGATACGATGAGCTGGGGATACAGATAATAATAAACGATAATAAATAGCATTTATATAGCGCTTAACCCCGCTCTACAGCAAGTTCTATGCGCTTTACACTATATTATTACCCCAGCAGACCATAGAACACTCAGAAACATTCTCAGCTTCCCTGGAAGCGCTCAAACACTAACAAACTGACAAGATCTTTTTCGCTGTCTATAGCTGGGTAGATCTACCCATTCCCACCAGGGTGAAGTGAGGAAAAATCGTGTAAAGTGCCTTTCCCAAGGAAACAACGTAGGGCCCCAGACAGGATTCGAACCCACGACCTTACGGTTGCTAGTCCGAGAACCTAGATACACGAGGTGGGGTCAGACGGTGATCAGCTGGAGAAAACAGTGATTCGTTGGAGGGATATTGTGGTCAGTTGGGGATCACAAGTGACCACTCACTTGTATGGGCTAGTTTAGTTTTAGTTTTAGTAAGAGGTTTTTTTTTATAGTAGAGGGTTTTACGGCGCTCGCAACTGCATAAGGTCATATGAAAGCCAAGGGGTGGGTGTCAACAGAGACGTCTTTACAGGGAATCAGACTTAAACTGCTCACCTCTCTAGCTTGAACAGCACAAGGTCTACTTCGACCATCAAGTCACCCCGAAATAGCAGGTCACAAGAGAGTGACAAACATACAAAAGAAGTAGGAAATGACAATAATAAGGATCAGGGAAGAAAAAGCAGCAGTTCCCTGTTGTAGATCAGGCACAGTTATGAGCGTGACATGAGTCAGCCCATTGACAATTCTACTATGCTTGAACGAGAAATGTCCCCCCCTTGGGAATGTCCTAAAGACACCTCAGTCAGTGGCACTGCCCCAGGGGGTAGTAAGAGTTTTACGGCACTTGCAAAGAATAAGAGGTCATATAAGTGCCGAAGATTAGAGGTGTTACAAGAGAGTAACAAACACAAAAAAGAAGGAGGAGAGATCAGGACGATAGATGTTCGATAGGAAAGAAGGAGCAAACCACACCAGAGCACCCGCCAATCACCCACTCACTTGTATGGGAGTGCCGGCAAGCAGGACAAAGACCCGGAAGACTTCCTGCACCCTCTGCGCGTCCACGGAGACCATCATGATTATCTCCCCTGCCGTGTACTTCTTACGGGACTCGTTGTTCATCGTCAGAGACTGGCGGCGGGAACAGATAAATGAATAAATGAATAGATAGAGTATAGATAGACTGATGACATGGATAAATAAATAATCACATGAATAAATGAATAGATCGATTAGAGACGGATTGATGGCATAAATTAGTGAATAGATGAATAAATGAATGAATAAATAAATAAATAAATAGATTAGAGGTAGATTGAAGATTTGGATAAATATGGACATGAATAAATAAATAGATCGACTAGAGATAAAATGATGATATGGATAAATAAGTAAATAAATGGATGAAAAAACCCCCAGATTATATATACACTGATGATATGAATAAATAAGTAAATAAACGAATAAATGAATAGATTGATCAGAGAAAAAAATTATGATGATATGGATAAATGAGTAAAAAATAAAAGAAGAAAATAGATTATAGATAGACTGATGATATGAATAAATAAGTAAATATAGACAAATAGTGTGTTGTTTATCGTTCTTTCCAGGCCAGGTTTATAGACAGATAGATAGATAGATAGATAGATAGATAGATAGATAGATAGTTAGATAGGGAAATACAGAGATAGAGAGACGACCTACAGATTGGTAAAGAAATAAATAACCAGACAGATAAACAAATAAAATGAATAATAAATAAATGATTAAAAAGAAAAAAAAATGATGAATGTTTTATAATATAACAGTGGTATTTATCAGTTTAAAAACGTCTTCTTCTTCTTCTTCTTCTTCTTCTTCTTCTTCTTCTTCTTCTTCTTCTTCTTCTTCTTCTTCTTCTTCTTCTTCTTCTTCTTCTTCTTCTTACCT